TTACGATCCCGGTCACGTTTTAGGTCACGTTTTCGGGAATCCTTGCGCATTGGCTCCAACACGATTTCCCTCTAACAATATCCAAAATTGCTACAACCTCTTCCCGATCTACATAATTAAACATTTTTTATGTTTAGTTCCGATTTTGAATTCCTCATCCCGTTCCATGCGATTAAGCATTTCTTGTAAGGCATAACAATGTGTGATTTCAGCTTCAAATATTTCTTTATGATTTTTATCATCAGCATAAGATTCCATAAGTTCAGGAATTACTATCCATTCAACTTTTGCATTCTCTATATCTAGTTTAATCTTATCCTTAATATTTTCCTCGTCAGTTATTTCATCTTTGTTTAATTGAACTTCTTTTCTTGCTCTATGCGAATAAATTATATATTGAAACAAGCCCATTTCAAGAATGTTAGCATAAACCTTTGCATTTTCGACAAGTTCTTTGGCAATAATTTTTGTTCCTGGGATATTCGTTTTATTTTTTTCAAGTTTTTCGATTTTTTCTTTCAAAAATCTTTTTCCAACAGGTTTTTTAAGTTTTTCAAATATGATTTTTTCGACAATACTATGATTAGTTTCTTTATTTTTAGTAATTACTTTATTTCCATCAGTTTCTTTATTTTTAGTAATTTCTTTATTTCCATCAGTTTCTTTATATTTAGCAATCAAATAATTTTCATTATTTAAGTCTTCAAGCTGCTTCTGATAGAATTTTTTAATAATGTCATATTCTCTATTTCTGTAAAAATTTTGGACATTTTCAACGTATTCCTTTGCTTCATCACTTCTAACTTCTATATAAAGTCTTTGATGACCTAAGAATTCCGAAACTTTCTTATCATCATTAATTCGTAAAAAAACAAATTTGCTCATATCAAGTTCTTTATCACCCATTTTCCCATATTTCTTAATATCTTTAACTCTAACTTCTCTATCATTAGAAAAAAATGAAGAGATTGAGCGAGTTAAAACCGTAGTAAGGATAAAGAAAAATATAGTATCAACATTTCTAGGGGTACAATAAAGGTCATATTCAAAAAAGCATTGACCAATAGAAACAAAAATAACAAAAAAGAAAGTTCTTTTTAGTACAAATCTTTTGGGTAAAAAATAATTAATAAGTAAAATACTAGTTAAAACAAAGTAAATTATATCTGTAAGGCTGCTTAAAGCTTCTAAATCAAAAATAATATAAGTGAATTGATTGGATTGGGTTTTAACTTCACTGAGAATACGTTTTGTATCATAAATAATTATCAAAATTGAATGAACAAAACAAATTAATATAATAAATGTTTTAAAATAACTATAATACCTAGGTTGTTTAATTGATGGTATATATTTAAAGAAAGTAAATAAGGACAAGGTGTGAAAAGAACTCACTAAATATATAATAAATAAAAAGACAATAAAAAATGTTAATATAAAAAGTGATAAGCAAATTAAATTTGATGCATTAAAAAAAACAAAAGCAAATTTGGCAGTAAAAAACCATGAAAACATAGGTGTTAGAAAACATGTGAGAATTAAAACATCATCAACAATACAAGTGGTTCTAAATTTGAGTCTAGAAGTTACTCCGTAAAAGGCCACATTAAAAATTAATCCTGCAATAGAACCAAACCCTGATAATTGAGAAATAATACTCGTATGTGAAATTTCATTGTAATAAACGCCTACATTGCATGCAAATGTACCATTAATTTCGTTAAATCTAGGTGCAAAGATCATGCTACTCATTTTTTGATCTATAATATCAGAACGTGGTATAACCCATGATAGAAAAAATAAATAAAATATCATAGATAATATAGATAGAATTGATAAGATTGATAATACTGAATTCATGTTATTATTTCGAAAATTTTTGTTATAACTTTTTAAAAATTGAGGAATAGTGAATTAAATAATGCTCGTAAACCAAATGGCATCGAATTCTAATACACCATTTTTTTGAAAATTTTTTGATTGTACAACACAGATTATCAAAATTCGGTAACATCTACAATTACATTAATATAAGCTACGTAGAAATTAGCAAATATATCCATAATTAGCACTGAGAAAAAAAGCCCGTACCAAGAAAGCTTTATGATAGGTAGAGTTTACCTTCAGTTGGAAAAGTAGTAACATTCATGCATCAAAATCTTTAATAATGAATAAATTTGTATAAATCTCCTCTTAAATGTCAAACATGCTACAAAACATTAAAGACGCCATAATATGTCTTTAGATAATACCGTATCCTCCAACAATATGCTACATACAATACTTAACGTAGAGTTATTGCAGATAAATTAAATAAATTTATTTGGTGAAATTTATTGATTTTTACTGTAAAAACTAAGATTAAAGATTAAGTTTCTTATGTGCTAAAAACTTCAATTTTTATGTATTATTTCGATTGAGCAATAAGATTAAATAACATCTGAGTCAATAATTTTAATGATACTGTATAGTGATTATCGAGATTAAATGCAATTTTTATAAGTGAATATAAAATTGCTTGGAATCGCTCATTATTTACTTACGAGTTACAAGCTCTCAATAATTCAGAATTTCAACTAAACATTTTCATCTATATGATAATAATAAATTAACCTGGAACCTCCAAATTTGGGCAATGCATGAAGTTTGTTAAATAAGAGCCACAAAATCTTAATATATCGACTTCAATAACGTTACGAAAATCTCTTCAAATCAATTGGTTATTAATTTTGATAATTATATGTAATATTATTGGTTGATATATCAGATATTATACAAAAACTCTTTTAGTAATATTACATCTTAAATGGTGTTCGTATAACCAAAGGATATTTTCACAATCACGTAATTCAAGTTCGAATGCTTCCAGATCTCTATAAGATCAAAAAAAAAGTTCACTGATGTGTAAATAATAAGCATGAATTTTTTACTAATTCTATTTAGTTATATATTTGGTTATTTTAAATTCGCCAATTTAGTAACTTCTAATTGTTTTTTTTTATTAGTTATTAGCATATACCCCTTGCTCTAAGATGTTTGATTAAAGAATATTTATTACTCAAAATATTTAAAAAAGGAATTAAAGTTCTTAAATACGCATTAATACTTAACATTATTGTATTATATAGTAAGGTTGCTGTGTAAAATAGTTGCGCAAAACCAGGAACCCTATATTCTAAGATTTTATTAAAGTAAATGCAAAGTAATGGGTAATTTATAAAATTTCTATAAAAATTTATACAATGTATTTAGATTATTAGAGATTAATCATTATGATACAGGTAAACTCTTTGTGGGCTAGGGATAAGGTTATTAATTACATTACACATAGCCATTGAGCCACTCAATAAAAACGGGAGAGTCAGCTTTCATCACAAAACGAACTATAGTGAAAAGAAAGATATACCTTTCGCTTCTTAAATATCCCTCCACTGATTAAGGGTACTAACTACATATGCTACACAGAAAAACTTATACACCTTTGAGAAGCTCATACGTATGGATAGTCTTCACAGCTATAATAGCAGTGCAATGACCTTGCATATAGGGATAAGAATCAATTCTAAAAGCGCTCATAACTGATTTAGAATCGATAACCGAATCTTATACATATTAATATTCTGATCCGACAGAGTTCTATCTGTTTTTTAAGCCTAATAGTAATAATAAAATAATATATTTAAGATATAAGGCGACTTGAAGTTAAAGTTTCGTTAACGTTATCCCCCCTCCACTTACGGGTCTCCCCCCCAAAAAAAATTAAACAATTAATAAAGTAGCCAAAAAAAAAAAATTGTTAAAAAAATATTGAATATTTCGATATTGCATAATAAAGTAAAAATCATTAATAATCATCGTAAAAATATCGAGTTTACTAATTTCCCCCACACTTCACAATCGGAGTACCATAAAATTGATTAATAACATATATGAATAATTAGTAGAACCAATCAGAAGTGTGGGGAGAAATTAGTAAACTCAAAAAGATCAATGCCCTGCTTTAAATATAAGTAAACCGGCTTATCGTTATTAATTATGATAATACACTCAGGTAATAAGAAAAGATAACGATAATTTTCTTGTCACTTAATTTGAATTCGCTAACAAAATTTCTGTAATATTACAATAAATGATTTTTCCTTTTGTAACTGTAATGCGAGATAGTAAAACAATTCTTTCAGCTGCGCTATTCGAAGTAGATGAAAGTTATACTTTTGAACATTTACATTATCAGGCAGATGGTAAATATATTTTCAGAGAGGATGTTAGAGTTGAGATTCGGGTTAAGGGTACAAATAGATAGCATAATGTTGTGTCTGGTGTAAATGGAAGTTTAATGCTATGTACACGAGAAGAGAAAAATGTTTCGCAAATTAAATTTATTATTCAAGATAAATATCCTGAATCCTCTTCAAACCTAGTTCCTTCTACATCTAATGTTTTTAATGAAATAATGAATGCGCATCCAAAAGGGTTTTGCCTGATCCAAAGCCAACAACAAATCGTAATAATCATTTATATAATGATCTTTTTAGCACTTTTATATAGTAATAATCTTGGTTAGGAATATGGGACATATAAAGTTGCTAGTAAATTATTAATACCAGGAACGGAGTGATGAAATCATAAAGTCCGTGTGATCCTATTAGTCACTGTTCGCATGTTCATCACATCCCTACTAAATATCATCTTGTACTATTAAAATGTCATCTTATACTATTTAATAAAATCTACATTGTTCACGATGAGATCCTTTTAAACCTGATATTTTTTAAGATAATACCCATGTTTAGAACAAACTTAAATATACAACTTAATTTAGAGCTCATCATATTTTTGAAGATCATGTTGCTCTAGATACATAAATATTCACAGCTTACATTTATAGCTATTTCATTCATAAATTTACTAATATGTTCTATCTGAACAAAATGACATGTATAATAAGTAAACCTAAATCTAATCTTTATATATACCAGTACAATCACGTTTCTTGTATAACATGAAATATGGTAGAGATGGTTTTCTTCAACTTTTTTGATGTTGCTTATGCTGATTTTCATAAAATCCTTTTTTAGTAAGAGTAATGAATTTCGTTTATTCATTTTTAGAAAGAGTTAAGATTTTTAAATATGTACAGTAGGCACCAAAAGTAATGCCTGATTTGCAGATCTAGTCATCTGCACAAATAAATAGGCTGTGTTTACCTCATTTTTACATTTTTTGAGGCAAATTTTTTTTTTAACAATTCTTAAACTTTCAACTAACGTCTAGCAAGAAAAAAAAAACCTCCAAAATGCTGTATACCCAAATGACTGAAAAAGACAAAGGAATGATTCTTGCTTATATCAATGATATAAGTACTAAGCAAGTTGCCTATAAAATTGGTCATGACTTCATGACAGTTCAATAGTTCTTTAATAAATACAAGAGAACCAAAACAATCAATAATTTACCATAGTCTGGACATCCTCTGATCCTAAAGAAGCAAGAAAAGACAAGCTTTGTAAAAAAAAGTATTGAGAACAATGCATAAGTTATTGTGTAGTATTGTGAACGATCTCAGCTTTCAATGTAGTATATCAACTGTAGCTAGAGCTTTGCACAATACTAGGTTTGTTCACATTTAGCAGTAAAAAACTATTTTTGATTAGTGTTAATATAACTATACAGGAGAGTTGATGCAAAAAATTTAAAAACAAGAATATTTACAATTGGTTCTGAGTTATTTTTTCTGACAAAACAAGTATAAAAGTTAGTAAACAATTCCATCAAATTAGAGTATTGTATCATAAGAATAAAAGGTATAAAAATGAGTATTTAGTTCTAAGTTTTAAGAGTAAGAGGGTGTCGTTAATAGTGTGAAGTTGTTTTGTAGATGAAAACAAAGGGCTGTTAGTTTTTTTTGATAAATATTTAGAATCAAAACAAAAAATTAATAAAGAAATATATATTAAGATTCTCAAAGACTACTTTGTACCTTATCTTGCTTCTGTTCATTCATTATTAGGTCTAAATATAGTGTTTCAGCATGATAATTGTTCAGTTTATACTGTAAAGATTGTTATTAAATAGCTTAAAGAGAAGAAAATTAAAGAATTAATATAGCTGTCAAAGTTTCTAGACCTTAACCCTATTAAAAATATTTGGAAACTATTAAAAAACAATATTCAGAATCATAAAAACTTCCTAAGAAACACTAATGACCTAAAGGCTACAATAAAGGAAGAGTAGACAAATTTTGATATGTTGATTCTTTATAGTGTTGTAGACTCAATGCTATGAAGAATTCAGGCAGTATTGGATATCCACAGTCATTCGACCAAATACTAACTTTTTTTTAAATAAAATTTGTTTTTTTTTTATTTTTTGTTTAATTTGCAAAATCAGGCATTACTTTTAGTACCTACTGTAGATACTATATAATATTGCTACTAGTTGATCAAGATGTTATACAGATTAGGTGATTAAATTTTTTACTATAAAATTTGAGTGATTGATACTCATATTGAATTTTTGATTTTTATTATAAATTGCAACTATAGCCTGTTTTCAATTACTAATTTCAAGGGTTTTATAAAAAAAAATTGCATTTATGAGTTATAGTGTAATAACTTAAAAAAACCAAATACAATATTATAGTTAAGTATAAAGTAAGATAAAAAATAAACCAAAAAGAATCTCATCTCTAAAGATTGTTTTTTATTTTATATTTAATAGTATCAGTAGTTTAATAGAGCTTTACATTTACTGATTTACAAATATATTTTTATATAATATAAATATTCTTAACAACTTTACTCTAATTTTGAAAGCTTTTTAACAAAAAAAATAAAGTACTAAAATATTATAGTTTTGTTTTATTGTTAAGGATGAACTATATATTAAATCAAAAGATTTAAGCAGAAATAAAATTATTAGTTATTACTATAGTCACTTGTACTATGTAAACTTATAATTAGACTTAGTTTAGTTATGCTATACAAATAGTTAACAAGTATGTATTATTAATTAGACTAATAAAAGATCATAGTATATAAATTTTTTATTAAAAATAGTATTTACAGTTATGTACAAAAATTTAGATACTATACATTATTTTTTCTCATTTAAGCTATTTTATTTGTATTTGGTTTTTTTTTTAGCAATATATTTTTATTTATTGTTAAATATAATATAATTAAATAGCTCAACTACAAGTTAATTTAAGTAATAAAAAGGAACAATCTGTAATAATTAACTAACATTTCCTTATCAGATTCATCTTCAAAAAAAAATAATAAGAAAAGAAACAAATTTAATAACTACAAAAAATCAATTAACTCATGAACTATTGATCAGAATTATATGATTTTAGTACTATTCAATTTGTCTCAATAAGATGAATTAAATAGTACTAAATTATATAATTCTGATTAATAGTTTATGAGTTAATTGATTTTTTGTACCTATTATTTTTTTGTCAAATTCATCCCTTTTCTTATTACTAGATTCATATTGTGAATTAAAATCAAGAAAAAGTAAAATAATAAAATTTTACTTAAATATAGTTGCTATATATTAAAAAAAAATGAAAAACCTTATTAGCAAAATTGCAATCTATATACTGTTATCAAATAAGTTTTAATAATTTTATCTTTATTTTATATTTATTAATTAGTTATTCTTTATTTATATTTTATAAATTATCTTATAAGTTAGTAATATCTTTAACTAGTATTATTAGAATCAGAATAGTCTTATGATCATAATAAGCTATAATTTGTAGAAATTAGATTAGTAGTTATTGAATAATTAGTGTTTAGAAATCCCTATTAGTATTTAACTATACTTAACTACACTTGAAGATATTTGATGATGTTTAACTACATTTGAAAATGTTTGATGATATTTGATGATATTTGAAGATATTTAATTATGTTTAAAGATATTTAACTACATTTGAGGATATTTAAGAAAAAGATATAAAAATCTTGCCTTTTCTCTCTTCTGTTAAAGTTAGATTTGTCTTCTACAATCTCCTTAATATTAGAATTCTCTTAGCACAGATACTAATAGATAGTCTTGTATTATTGATATTATATTATAAATAAAAATACTCTTTACTTTAATATAATTTTTCTAATAAATCGTCTTTATGAGATAATATCCTGCTTTGATACTATTAAGAGTTCTTCTTCTGTATCTTATATTACTTGTGATATACTTATAATATTTTGGTATCTTCTAGCAGAAAACCAAAGAATATTTTTAAATATTTAGGAGTTCTAAAGAAAGAAAACTCAAAAAAACTTTTTACTAAGAAGCTCTTAAGAAACCTTTTTTACAAAACAAAGAAGCCTTTTACTTTCTCTTCTGATAATCTCTAAGAAGCCTCTCTTATTTTTTTGCTAATCACAATTTATGTTATATTTGATCTACATTATACAGACAAAAAAAAAAGATTATTAACTTCTAGAATTAATCTATATAACATAAGAATATGAAAATGACTTATATTATTTTAAGTTTAGAAAGATTAAGTTCATATTATATAAACTTTAAAAAATTATATTTAAACTTAGAAGACACTCTAT